CATCACAAAACCAAGAGATAAACACATGAACATCTATTCTAGCATACATAGATAAATGAATAGAATGAAATGATCAATTGGAAGTATTAATCAACACAAATCATTGTAAAAACAAGATTCATATATAAATCAAATGTCAAGACAAGATTACAACACAAATCCCCTCAAAATACAAAGCATTAAGGTCTAGATGGCAGGCTTAAGGCTAACTCTAGCCCTAAGAAGATGTTTAGCCACTCATTGATGTAGTCATCCAACCCTCAAGGGCCATTTCCATGGTAGAAATGCTCTTCTTCTTGATGGAAACCCTAAAAGAATAGAAGAACTCCCAAAATAGTGTATGTCTCTCTAAGCTCTAGCCTCCTCTCCAAGATATGTGATATGAGATTATATTGAGATATCTAAGTTATATTCTCTAAGTTATGATGTAAAAATGGCTCAAAATCCTTATATAGGTAGCTCAAGTGTCACACCTAATGGTCAGGTCTCGTGCACTAGGGTCCCTTCAACGATTACACCACGAGCTATCTTTTAATGAGCTGGACTCTATTTTAATTTGGACTTGAGGAGGTTCGATCGATCAAATTCAGATGAGATCGATCGAACTGTGGCCAGATCGATCAATCCTTAGCAGCGCCTTTTTGGAATAAGACAAATCTCTGAGATATTTTGGGAAAAAGACAAAAGTGGTAAGTGGGGATAAGATCAAGGAAGTTCGATCGCTCTGAAGAAAGTTGGATCGATCAAAGTTGGAAATTCTTTGAGGATAAGGACAAGGGATCTAATCCATCTTGATGAGGTGAGATCGATCAATGTGAGATCGATCGAAAGTATTCCTGATCAATTGAAGTTTGATGATTTCCACCACATTGTTTCTACTTTGCTTTACTCTTCCATTCAGCTTGAGATTGCTTCTTTTATAATCTAATTTGGCTGAATTGACTTATTTTGGGGATAAGCACCTAAAAAGGGCAATAACATGAAATTAGTCTAAAATGGGAAAGTAAGATAGATAAAATTCCTAGAATACTCGAGCTTAAGGGGTTTAAATGCGCACTTTTCAGCGCTCATCAATGGGTCATGCTTAGAATTGATGGGCTGTGCTACACTTACTTTATTTGTCAGTTAGGTAAGCAATTCATACATGAATTTGATAGTCCATGCTTAATATAACAATTGTTAGTCGCATTTTGTTCACAAAAATGTTTTCCCCAAATTAGTTGAAAGTGTGTGGTTTGGTGAATGAGCTTGGTGGCGATTCCAACACACCCTAAGCCCTCACTTCTCATCTTTTATATCCCTATCTCAACTTCATTTATTTTAATTGTATTTTAATTTCCTTGCATCTTAGTTTAATCAACCAATCTCTCTCTTTTGCAATCATTTGGTATATTAGAGTCGAAATTAAATTCCAACACGTATAATCTCTGTGGACGATCCCTACTCGCTATACTTCATTAGTTATAGTAGTGGTTTTATAAATGTAAATTTAACTTTCTAAGCTTCCGAAACCACAATCATATTTTGACCTTGTGAAGTGACCTCTCGCATTAAAAAGTCAATTTTCTATCCCATAGAAAAGGGCTCGTCAAATTTTGGCGTCGTTGCCGGGGATTAATAGTTTTGTTGAAATTAAATTAGACAATAGTGTTCATTTGATTGCTTCTATTTTTATTTTATTTTCCATTGTATATTCATTTCTTATTCTTGATATTATTTGTCAATTAGGTACTTGACTACAAGAAAGGCAAACTTTGGATCTTAAAGCAATCATTGGAGCTTAAAGTTAACATTAAAATTTGAAGTTGCTTAAGGACCATTGTGAGTAATTCTTGGAACTCTTGTATTTTAATTGTGCACTTCTTTGCATGCTTGTGATAGTCCTTGTTGAGGCTTATTATATTACTTTAATGTTTTTCCAAGCATCGGCCCGTGTAAAGGCCAAAATTTTTTCTTACACTTGGATTTTTAATGTGAATGGAGCCATTGTGTGATCGAAGTTTTGGGGGGGGGGGGGGGGGGGGGGAGGGGGGGGGATTTCTTTCCTTCACCTTATACTCCTCCATCATATTTTAATCCTTATGAGATTGAGTTCAATTCATTTCATGCATCATCTTATTATGGGATTGATCACTCTTTTAATCCTCCTTATGACTATTACCCTTCCCCACCATTTTATGAAGAACCGCCTCCATCACCTTATTCACCTGAGTTTCAAGAAAAAGTGTTAGCTCTACTTGATGGGCTTAATTCATAAACTCAACTTATTCTTTCACATTCTCAAATTTTAGCCAAGCTTGAAGTTCAAGTTGAGCAAATTACAAGTACCATTTGCCATCAAGAGGAAGAGGAAGAGGAAAATGAAAAAATGGCAAGAACTTCAATTTATATAGATGAGGATGATGAGAGTGAAGAGGAAGAAGTAACAAGTAAGCAATTTAAGGAATTAATGAGCACCAATGGCTAGCCCAAAATAGCACAACATGATTAATGAGGATTTTTCCTATTTTGATCATGATTTAATTCTCGCCTTTGATACTTTAGAGAGTGAGGAGATATTGACCACTATAGAGGTAGGAGAGAAGGAGGAGGAACTTATTGAAGAGGGCATTCCTTTTATTATCTTCAAAGACCATTTTGAGACATGCCTTTTTGAAATGTATAAAAATTGTAGTTTTGACCTTGAAAGTTCCAAAAATGAAATAAACTCTCTAATGGACTCCTTAGCTAACTTGGAAGGCGAGAAGATGGTGATTTTTGAGGAAGAGAAAAAGGAGGAAGAAAAGATGTTTCTTCATATTCCAATTGAGTCTTTGAAAGACATCGCCTTGCCAATTCACAACGGAAGTGATTCCTTGAATACACTTCAAGAGCACAAAAATGAGGCAAAGTCAACCACGATTGATTTTGTTTTCAAGACCGTAGATGAAAGGAATGAAATCCTCTCTTTAATTTCTTTTCAAGTCATTCTTTTAGAGAATGATTTCATTGTTGTAAGTGAGGCATCAAATGAGAAAAGTGAAAAAAGGATCAATAAGGATGTTACATATTCAGTTTTTTATACTTTTGATTAGTGAGTCGAACAAACGTCTTGTTAGAGATGTTAAACACTAGCATTCATAGAGTTTCACAACTCTATTCCTTCCATATTTCTTTTTTTTTTTTTACTTCTTGTGGCGTCTAGATATGTTCCATTGCACTTCATTGTCAAAAATCAGGTTTTTAGACCATATTCATGCATTTTGGGGCCTTAGAAAATTTATGCCTTTGAAATTTTTTTGAAATTCAGCAATTTGTGCCCAGGCAGTTCGATCGATCAAAAACTTTCTCAATCGATCAACGCTTATTCCGATCAATCGAAAATGGTCTCAATCGATTGAAAATAATTTCGATTGATCAGAATTACATCGGAAATTTTTGATCCCAGGACAATAATGTTCATTGTTTCGATTGATCATGGCCCAGCTCAATTGATTGAAGTAAATTTTGATCGATCGAGCACTGAAAAAAAATAAAATAAAATAAATTAAAATTCTTTTTGCATCTCTTCTTTCATTGCATTTTCATTCCTTACATGTTTATTTGTTTTATTTTTGTGTGTGTATACATACTTGTTATGTCTAAAAAATAAAAAAAGAAAAGAAAATTTTCTTAATTTTGTTTTTGCATCCTTTCTTACTTTTTGTTTTTTATTTCTTGCATTGTACATATTCTTTCATTACATTTTATCTTCGTTATTTTTCTTTTTTGTATTTTGTTTACACATTTTATTCTTTGATTTTCTTGCATTTTGTATATACTTGCTTTCACCATTGTGCTTTTATGTGTAGTCATGCTATATTCATATTTTTTATTGGGCTTGATCCATATCTCTCTTTCATCTTGTGCTATATTGCCTTAGAATGCTCGATTTACTTATCTTATCCCATTTGATATTTGATGTGAGTTTGTTAGAGTGGTTATTCAAATAAGTTGTTGATTCCAAGTTTGGGGATGCACTCTTTCTCAATGGATCACTACCGGGCTTCATGTCTTTTCCACTACGGTATATTCTTTCCATCTTTTCCATTGTTCTCATTGCACATTGAGGACAATGTGTCATTTAAGTTTGGGGGTAAGGTGACTTTGTTCACCACAACAAATTTGGTCTTTGGCGACGAAAGAGTTTGTCACTAAAAGTACATATTTTGTCGTGAAAAGATTATTGAGACAAAAAAAAAATTTGTCCCCAGTTCGTCGCTAGAAACCAGTCACAATATGTTTTTCGTGACAAATTTTGATTTGTCGCTAGAGGTAAGATATATCGCGACAAATTATTTTTCGTCACAAAATGAATAAAATTTGTGACAAAACATTTGCCGTAAAATATTCAAAAATTGTTGTCTTATAGCCTCAAGACTTATGAAATTTGTCGCTATTAATCACTATTTTGTAACAAAAAGAAATTTTGTCGCTATATGTATACTCTTTTGTGACAAAAATTGTCGCTATAAGATATTTTATTGTGACAAAAGATATGTCCCATATTACGATAAAAATAGTGTCACTATAAACTGCTTTATTGTGACAAAAAAATTTGTCGCAATATATATACCATGTTGTGACAAAATTATTGTCGCTGTAATTTATTTTTATTCTAACAAAATATTTTGTCACGATATATGTGCCATGTTGTGACAAAATATTTTTTCACAATATATGTGCCGTGTTGCGACAAAATTAGTGTCGATATAAGCTATTTTTATTATGACAAAATCATTTGTCGCAATATAAATACCATATTGTGACAAATATTTTGTCACAATATAAGTTGTTTTATTGTGACAAAATATCTTTTGTCACAATATACTTACCATATTGCGACAAATATGTTGTCACTGTAAACCATTTTATTGTGACAAAATAACATGTCCTGCGTGTAATACAATAATATAATTTTGTTTTCACCTATTTCAAACAATTACCATCCAAAAATGTCTACTAATAGATTTAGGCAACCATAAGTTAACTTACCAATATGAAAATACCATCCAAATTGTCTACTAATAGATAAAGCTATAGTAAACTCCAAGTTTTTACAAAAGAAGTATACACAATGAAAAGAATTTTTCGCAAAAGTAGTGAACACAACCACAAGTTTCCTCAAAAGAACCCATCTCGGCCAAGGAAATTCAAAAAGCACAACCACGACCCTATCTTCAAACCTTCTTTTTTCTAGCTTCATCTTCAACTTCAACAACTCGCTTGAAGATCTTTTATGTTTTTCTGCACCGAAGAAAAAAAAAAAAAAAAAAAAAAAAACTGTTATCTCTACAGTGGTTTAGTTTACCCAAATTGTAGTCCCAATTCAAAAGAAAAAAAATGGACTTTGAATTAAAATTTCACATGAAAACATGGAGAGATATGCCCTCTTATTGTAAAACTGGAAAAAATGATTGAAGAAGAAATCAAACCGTCTATATTTTCATAATTTGACTGCTTCAAACAAATAGCAAATCAACTTTGATTGTTAAAATGCCACTTACACTACGCATTTCCGTAGGGTACAAAGAATTTGTGCACAAAAAATTGACTAATGCCAATTAGAAGAGTACAAGCATAAAAGTTTGATATATTATGAGCTATTGGGTATTATAGATATATATATATATATATAATTTATTTATTCATTTATATATTGCAAAGTCAATTTATGAAAAGTCTCAATGATAGAAAAAAAATAATTTGGTGTTTACTCTTCTTCAAGCAACTAACTATATATACAATTACAATGTCACCTGTTTGCAGGTTAAGGATAAAAAATAGGGAAAAAAGGAAATTGAAATTCATTGTTTTTCTTGAACTTGTATTGATAATAATGATTATTCAATGGTAGTAGAATCTCATTAATTAGGCAAAAAAAAAAAGAATTTTCTGATCACCTAAACAGCAATTTCAAGGTCAACTTCATCAAGAAGTCAGCCTCAATGAAAGTCTTTTTTTTTTTTTGATGTCATATACATACACGTGAGGGAACTAAAGAAATATGTTATGCAAGAACATCATCTTCTGTCACAATTCATTATTATATACAAATCTCACCTGCCAAAACAACATGTCATATCAGAATCAACTTATATCAACTCTTACTTACATCTAACTGGTGCTGCCTTTAATGATTTGTAATTTTGTTACTTCTAATATTGTCACAATGTGTTACTACATCTTATATTAGTAGAATACAATTTATATATATACATCAACTTTAATTTTCCTTACTAAACAAAAAACTTTGAATTTAAGTATGCACCTATAGCGAGTATTGCAACTAATAAAATTTAGTTAAATGTTAACAACTAATTAAATAGCGTTTAATAAATATAAATGATAATGCCTTAAAGTGATAATTACATACAAGTATGTATAGACACTCGCTTTCAAATTTTTTTAGATTTGACGTTGTTGCAGTTCTTGCTCTCAAAAGTACTTTTTAGATTTGATGCTCTTGCTCCAATTCTAACTTTATGTTATGTCGTTTGTCAATGCTTAAGACTAATAAAAATTAAGATTGATGTTCTCGCTTCAGCTCTAACTTTATGTGACTTATGTCATTTGTCAATGCTTAAGACTAAAAAAAATTAAATTTACTTATTCTATGTTTGAAAGCGTGGAATAGGCAACTTAGATTTGGAATTGAAAAAAAAAAATAAAAAAGTTAAAAGTGTAAATTTAATTCCCTCTAAACGTAACAAAAATACTTTTACTCGGCTTGTGCCATTAAATGAATGGTTCAACAACCCATCAGATTGGTTTGTATACTTTGCTATCATTTGTGGAAAAGAAATTTTTTACTATATTAAGTGTAATGGATCCCAACACTGCACTATAGATCAAGCAAAAAAACCTACACTTTATAGTTACATTCCACATGACTATACAAGATCGTATGCTTTTCAAGATGTGCTATCTTGAACTAATGCAATGGAATTAATATTGAGAAATAAAATAAAAAATGAAAAACTAAGTTCTTTATTAAAAAAAAAAAAAAAAAAAAAAAAAAAAAAAAAAAAAAAAAAAAAAACCATTACAGAGATGAATCTATATAACAAAGGAAGTAGAAACCCAAAGATTGAAGAAAAAAAAACAAATAAATGAATAGAAAATGATAATTCTACGAAAAAATCCAAATAATAGATAATATAAACAGAGTAAATTAATAAAATGTAGTTCATTTGTGATTTAAACCTGGATAGTGTATTAACCGAAGAAATGCAGATGGTGGATTGAAATCCCCCGTCCAGTTTCTCAAAGAAGTCTTCATCCAAGATCAAATCCAGAGCAAGTAAAGAGACTAAGCTTTGTCCAGCAGCCCCGAGGGAGCAAAATTGACATCATTTAGAAGTTGCAAACCTTGTTTTAGAAAATATGAAGAAATATTTACAAGATTCATGAGAAAAAAAACCAAAAGACAAACACAATAGCACAACACATCCCAAGTAAGCAAAATTCACTAGAACTAGATTGTTCATTGATAATATCTCATCCCCAAACCCCTCATATAAAATCACAACCTATAACTATTCTAAGCATATGATATCACATTTCAGGCCCCAAGAATTGTTCAAATTCTTATTAAAGTAAAGAAAAAGAATTACCATCAATAAACTATTAAGGTTTGAATTGAAAATTTAATAATTGTTTTAAACTATTGAGGTTTGAATTGAAAAATTACTATGGTAAAGATTCTAGTGTGGATCTCCAATTTGGCAATACTTCTGGAATTTCCTACCCAGACAACATCCAAAATAGTTCTTTTATCTTAAGATAAAATGTACTCATCTAACAAAATACTAAGGGACAGATCAGGAAATGCAAGAAAACCAATAGCAACAGAGATACCAGTAAAGTATGTAAACATGTTAAAAGTACCTTCTGAGTTTTTTTATTTAACCCGATGTGTCAGTGATGACCCAAAAGTTGACCCGGTAATGGATCCGAAATGCGGAAGCAAAATAATGGTCTCAAGAGATACAACACGTCTCTAAGACACCAATGTGACCCTCCATGAGGTCACAGGGGGTTTTTCGAAAAACAATGGGTTTTGAGAGCCAAGATGACATTTTCTGGAAAAACACAAAGAAGAAACCCCTCTCAAAATTGAGTTTTCTACTCGACAGTGTAGAAGGAAATGAAAAAAAAAAAAAAAAAAAAAAACTCACTATAAAATGTCCAAAATGCCCCTCCATGAAATTAGATCATAAGGGTCAAAAAGCTGCTAAAATGAAAAACTGAAGGCTGAACTTCGCGAGCGATTTCCGGTACCAAGACAATATTTTCTGGAAAAACACGAAGAACAAACCCCCCTCCCCTCCCCCCCCCCCCCCCAAAATCGCGTTTTCTAAGTGACCATGTCAAAAGAAGAAAATAAAACTGTTATGAAAAGTCTAGAATGCCCCTAGATCAGATTATGCATAAAGCGCCAAAAATAAATCCATAGAGTACTCATTTTGTGGAATATGGCTCTAAACTTGAAAACGATCATGCGCGCAAATGTAACTTACCTAATAGGACGTGCTACAATGGTTCACGGCTTAAAAATACTGCTGATGCAAAATTTGATCCCCCGACAGCCAAAAAAGCGAAAATGAACAAGAAATGAAAATTTTGAAAACCAAAATTGACAAATGATTTTAAATTACTGTTTGGCCCTAGGCCACACTTCAAACATGATTAATGAGACACTATGAAAGAATAAAAATGGAATTTTCACACCCAACACAACCATGGTGAGACAATGACTTAGCATTTTTTAATATTTTTATAAGATTTCATGAAGTTAAAAGTTACATAGAATACAATATACATATCATTGGCCTCCGGCCTCATCTCATACATGTCAAATAAATTGAAAATTGTGTACTTATGTACACATTACATATATGGAATCAAAGAATACAAGTTTTGACGTATAAAGCTACAAAATGATATTTCATGCTAACATTTGCATGAAATGGAAATTTAAAAGTTACAAGTCATGCAAGGAATGATGAGCATCACGAACCAAGTCCTCATACGTGAAACAAATCCCTAATAACTTCGGGGTGAGTAACATAAAGCTACTCGTAGGAAATGAGCATGCATAAACCCAACTTTTTTTAGATTTTTACATTAACATGAAATAATTCAAAAGGATCATGCCACCTAACATCTATGTCAAGGTGAGACTCAGGGATTATCCTAAACTACTCATGTAATTGAAATGAACTACGGCATACAAGTATACATGCTCAAGTATACTAAACAATGTCAAAACATGTTATACGACATTCAAGCATACATTTAAGTATACTAAACCATATTAAAACAAGTGATGCAATGTCCAAGCATATCTACTCAAGTATACATTTAATATGGAAAGTTCGTAAACCAAGTACACAAACACAAGTATATTAAACTAATAGGATTACACATGTGACAAGAATACATAGCACAAGTATACTAAATGAAATTTAAACTCATGGAGCAAGTATACAAGTTCAAGTATACTGAATAGGATTCAAATATCCAAATAAGCATTAATTCTTAAGTTACAAGTAATCCATGATTAACAACTTGAAATTAAATGCGAAATCAAATAGTGGAAAGACTGGGACATGCGGTCGCTAGACCAAGCAAGTATTTTCAGGTAATTACGACCCACAAGGTACCACCTAGTGCGAACTTATGACTTAGAAGGCTCTTATCTTCGTACTAGAGTCAAACCCTAGCCATCACATAATTTATATCCTCACAAGCTTTCCAAAATTAATAAGTTCAAAACTTATACAAAATCAAATGCAAGTTACCACATTCCATGCACAAGTAAGGTTAAATCCACACAATTCATGTCCTATAATTCAAGTCTAAATAATATATGACAAGTCATGTCCTCAATATGCAATTTATCCACAAAGTAAGAATATTTTACAACAATTGAGCCACATTACCATCCTAAGCCATAAGTACGAAATAAGCTTCAATTTAATAACTAACTTCCAAGGTAAACAATTGTAATATTCTAACAAGCTATGTAGCCACACAAGATATATTTAAATAAGTTATGCAAGTCAATGATATTTTATATCATGCTAAGTCCAATTACCATTTGAAGATGCCACAAGTACTAATTCTACATCTAATTAGTAATATCCACATAAGGTAATTGAACATACTATATTTCAAGAAATTACCTAACATGAAAAGTCTCTAGATTTCAAAGCAATTCCAAATAACCTCAAATTAATATATATTAAACAACATAGCATGCTCATTATATATATCAAATCAAAAGAGCAAAATGAGCAAGACATCATCATGCAGATTTTAATTAATTTAAATTAATTAAATCTCTAATTTTTCAAAAGTTGTTCAAATGATCCCAAATAAATATAAAACAAGGATTAAGTTATGGCCATGCCATATATCAAGTCAAAAATGAAATACAAGTAAGGTACAATTTAGTAGAATTTAAATCAATTTAAATTCATTAAATCACTAGATTTGAAAACTCATTTAAATCACCCCAAATTAATATATAACAAAGATCAAGTCGTGGCCATACCATATATCAAGTCTAAAATGAGTTATATACAAGTTACAATAAATCATTTATTTCTCAAATTGATATAAAACATGCATATAACTTGTATTTCACTACAAAAGCAATTAAAACCACTTAGAAAATAAACTATAACACCCCCTACCTCACAAGAGGATTGTTCGTCTTGAATCCTAGGCAAATCAACACAAAATGGCAAACCCTTCAAGGGTTATGTAGAGGAGGATGAGGGGAACAAAAAGTATTCCCAAGGTTACGCTTGAAAATCAATGGAAGGTTCTCAAAAATCAAAGTCAAGGCCTAAGCATCAAGCTTCTCTAATGGTGGCAAGGGTTTGTGGTGAGGAATATAATGACATAATGTGAAGAAGTGTGAGTGGAGGAAATAGAAATCCTCTACTCACTATGTGATCCTACACCATAGTCAACGCACACATCTATAGTCAATTGCACAAAAATCCTTCTTTAAAACCATAATCCCAAAGTGGCCCAAAAATAATTGTAAGACTTAATTTGGAACATACACTTGTCACTCATCCAAGCCAACAAGTGGTCCAATCCTAGGCCAACAAATGGGTGAATCTCCTCCCTCCATATGTCAAGAGATTAAGCTTCTAAGTGGTTCTACCAAAATGTCAACAAGTGGTTTAATAGGAGTGTGACACTTGTCACACTTTCCAAAAATTATAAAAAGGTCATTTTCTAAAATATCTTCTAAATTAAATTACAAAATGGTCCCTAAGATGAAAAATAATTACTTTATGTAATTACACTAAAACCTCACAAGTTAAGAATATTATAAAAAAGTTATGCATCCATACCCTTTATAAGAAAAGTAAATACTTAGCATACTTTTCTAAGAAAGTAAAAATACATATGGCGTGGAATTTAAATATCGTGGATGCATGCAAAAATCAGAATCAAATTCGAACACGAAAAGTGATGTTGTGCCAATAAAGTGACAAACGAGAAAAAGACAAAAAGTGAATAGCGTCGAAAAACAAAAAATATGGAAATAATTCGGTCCTTAAAGGAAGTTGTCAATCCAAAGGAAAGAGTCTCAGAAACCATTTCCGAGCACTCGAGATGACACTAAGTGAAGAGAAACTAAACTCAGAAAAGAAATTTCAATGAAAAAAATTCATCCGTAAAATTCTGAGGAAAAAAGAATGGAAGGAAATGACCGGGTCATTACAGTATTCTTTTCCAAAGGAATGATATAGAAAGTCTCCTTTGAGTCACCTGTACACCAACCAGTATAAAACAAGCAAACTTGAGCTCCCTTCTCCATTACACTCAATCAATTGTACAGATAAATGAAAAGACAAAGCAATAGAATTTCTTTAAGTTCAGTAACTGAAACAAAACTTCTTTTGGCCCACATTCATTTTGACCAAATTAAAACTTTGTAGAAAATTTCATTGATTTAGCCAACTTTCAACCAAATTTCCAAAATATTGATCTAAGTTCTATAACCCGTGCAACTTGAGAAACAAAATGATTTTAACAACTATAGGCTGAAACTTTAAAAAAAATTATAAAAGAGAAAGTTGATTCTAAAAATTAAAAAAAATAAATAAAAACTTTTTTAAAGAAATTATTAAAGACAGTTCATATATCATGAAATCCAATCTTTTGTCTCTGACAAGAACGAAATAGAAAATTTAGAGAACAAAATTTCATAATAAATGCAAAACTTATAGGTCTCTTGTAGATTAGTATTACAGATCTTGTAAGTGTTGCACCTTAAGATCCTTGAGATAGACAGGGAATTTAGAGAACAAAATTTCATGATAAATGCAAGTACATGTTTTCTTTATCCAGCAGCTACTCATTTAAGTTTCAAACAATTGAGCACTCAAGTGACCTGAAGTTGAAATAACAATAAATCTTAGCAATGGTTATTCACTCAAAACAAATTAAGCGTTAGAAGAACTTGATCCCAACATGAACATTTTACATGAATCCATTTAGGACTGAAGCAAACAAACAAGGAAAATGCAAATTATGGAATTGTATGGCATGCGGAGGACTTTGCACTATATCACGTGGTGGAACTGGGACTTATATCTGATATAATTGACAAAACAAAAAAAAACAAAAAAAACAAAACAAAAATAGAAGTTATAGAACTAAATATATATATATATATATATATATATATATATATATATATTTGTTTTGCTGAAATAAAACTTAGATTACGGTGATTACCTCAAAATGCAATGCAATGCAAATTTTGTTACTTTATATTCTAAAAATTAAAAAATAATTATATAAAAAAGATCATAAAAATTTTCACCAAATAGGATTTAGTTTGCAAAACTAGAATTATAGAGCTTGATTAGTTGATTTAGAAAAAAAATTAAAACAAAACCCATACATACAAGTTAGCAGTTGCAGAGAGAGAGGGGGGCAAGCTTGAGAGTTGAGAGACAACGGACCAGCGGCTAAAGCTTACGAACGGCGAACCCAATCTGGAACAGCAGGTGATGGAAACGGAAAGATATGTGTTTTGATTTTTTGAACAATCTTGAAATGATATGTCGATATGGGTTTTGAACTTTTGATTCTTGCAGACAGGTAGAACAACTGAAATATATGGGTTTTGAACTTCTGATTCTTGTAGATTTTGTGGCTTGCAGTTGGAGGGAGAGAGAGAAAGGGCAAGTTCAAAGTTGAGAACGAGAATAGAGATGGAGGCGATTGGGGAGGCTGAAATCATTGTGCAGACAGATTCTTGTAGATTTTGTAGTTTGTAGTTATAAGGACAAAAAGAGAGCAACTTCAAAGTTTAGAATGAGAATAGAGATGGAGGCGATTGCGGAGGCTGAAGAGAAACCTAGGGTTTGTAATGTCGGATGAGATAGGTAAAGTTAGAGAAACAAATGGTAAATTAAGGCGCAAATAGTAAAGTGATGAATTATTAGGGCGCCAATTTTCTCGCATAAAATAATTTCAATAAATTCCGCACCCGCACCATCATTACTAGTGCTACTATGGTAATTATTAGGCAACACCTGCTGTCATTAAAAAAAAATGTTGGGAAATATTGGCAGTTTAAATAGGGAAATACAGGAGGAAAAAAGTGTACCAAATGATTTATAGACAAAATAATAAAAGAATTTATTAAATGGTAAAATAAGTTATTAATTAAAATAAATCATATAAATTATCAATTAAAATAAACAAGTTATCTATTAAAATAAAATAAATTATCAATTAAAATATAATAGGTAATTGTTTAATTAAAATTCAATCAAGATGTTTCAAATCATTAAATAAATTATCAATGAAAATTAAATAGGTAATTAGATAAGAATTATTAATATAAATTTTTTTTATTATTTGATAGAAAAAATAAAATAATTTCTCTAAAACTCAGCACAAATTACCTTTTATTATGAGTTTTTTAATAAAAGGAAATCTAATTAGGTAAGGATAAATTTAAAGAAAATAAAATAATTTTTTAAAAGAGTTTATATAAAACTCTAACACAAATTACATATTTATCTATTTATTATGATTTTTTTAATAAAATAAAATCTAATTAAACAAGAATTATTAATATAAAAAATATTTATTAATTGATATAAAAAATAAAATAAATTTTTTAAAACTCTACCACAAATTACCTATGAGTTTTTTTGTAATGACCCGGACTTTTTCCTCATTTTTTTCATTTTTTGTGATTTTCTTTTTTTTCGTCTTTTACTCGTTTATCATTTTTCCTCGCTTAACCTCACTTCGGGTGTTCGGATTTGAATCCGGTTTTTCATGCATTCATGATACTTGATTTTCATGACATTAGTATTTTCACTTTTGTTGAAAAGCATGCTAGTTACTTTTATTTTTCACTAAGGGCATGAATGCTTACTTTAGTGTAATTATACATAACTTTTGGGATTTTAGTGTAATTATGCAAAATTATTATTTTTCGTTTGAGGGACCTTTTTGCAATTTATTTTGGAAGATATTTTGAAAAAGGACCATTTTGCAATTTTTGGAAAGTGTGACAAGTGTCACACTCTCATGGAGCCATTTGTTGGCATTTAGGTGAAGAGATTTGGCACCATGATCTTTTGACATTTGGTGGATGGAGATTCATCCATATGTTGGCCTTAGATTAGTGCACATGTAACCATTGGATTGTTGACAAGTGTAAGCTTAGGATTAAGTCTTGGAAGAGGCATTGGATTGTTGACAAGTGTAAGCTTAGGATTAAGTCTTGGAAGAGTCATTAGATTAGTGACAAGTGTAAGGCCATGATCTAGTCTTGCATTGTGTGTGTGTGAGAGGTAGTGTAAGAGCACATAGTGAGTGGAGGATCTCTAGCCCTTCCACTCACCATTTTTCACTTATCCTCTTCATTTTCCTTAGTTCTTCAAAGTTCTAACCTAGCCACCATTGGAGAAAAGCTTGGTTAATAGCTTTCTTCTTCAATTTTGGTGCCCTTCCATTTATCTTAGACTAAGAACCTTAACTAGTAAAAGTTTCCTCTCATTCTCCTCTTCATTAACCCTAAGCTTGTTTTCCATTTAGTGCTTGGTTGCTTGGATTATAGAGATACAATTCTCTATTGAGGTAGGGGTGGTAGTATGTTTATTTTCTAAGTGTTTTGAAATCCTTTGGGGTTTAATATATATTGTATACATGCTTTTAGAATTGTGGTATTGCATACTATAGGAAATCCTTATGATTGACTTAGGATTTCATTGATCAAGCATGTATGTTGTGTATATATCTTGAGTAGGATTGTTGAAGTTGTATAGAATTCTTAATGATTTGAATTACTATGCTATTGTGATGGAAATCCTACATTCTAGTGTATTACTTTTGATAATCATGGTTGTTTTAGAAGCTATTTGCTAAAATGCAAACATTTAGTATATATGGCTTATTGTTGAGGCATGACTAAATTGATAAGTTAATGATATTGTTTTGTGCATAATATCATGTTAAGAACTTGTCATCCATCATGTCATTCTAGACTTGGAATCCAAGACATGGTTTGTATGGTTTCAAAGTACTTATGCATGGAAGGTGGTTTATATGCCTTGTTATCTATATATAAGTTTTGAACTTGATATATACTTTGGATTCTCTTGGGACATGGTTACTAGTAACATGGCTAGAGTTTGGCTCTAGTGCGGGAGGTATGAGTTCTCCCCAATCGAGATAGTGCGCACTTAGGGTGGTCTTCCCTGCGAGTTAATGCCCGGAATAACCGTTGAGGTCTCGGCAGAATTCCGAGCTTAGGTGTCCAAGGATTCTACTTTTTTTTATTTTGCATTCATTTCCAAGTTGACAATCAATGCTATTTGTAACTTGTAAATTTTGTTATATGCGGTTTGATGTTGCTAAGTACATCCATTTTGATATTGTGTTGCTAATAAACATTTAAGTTAGCTTAAGATGATCCCTTAGAACACCTTGAACATAGACGTTAAGTGGAATGCTCCCTTGTATTCGTCTATATTAATCTTGTAATGATATTGAAACTTTATGGTATACGCATATGCTTCTCCTATGAGTAACTTGATTACTCACCTTAGTGGTTTGGGTTATTTTTCAGGTAAAGAGACCATGTTCTAGGATGCTCATCATCCTTAGAAGATTTTGAGTTATTTAAAGCATTTTTTTATATTGACATGCACTTGTTTAGCATGCCTTCCTTTTTGGATGTTAATTTTGTATACCATGGATGTATGGTATTGTAGAAGCTAAGATGGCTTCCTTGATATGTAATGTATATCTAAGAACACTTGAAGATGTTTATTTTGTATACATAACATGAGGCCAAGTGCCATGTACCTTTATATCACATGTATGCTAGTTTAATCCCATAGTTGTCTCATGAAATGATGAGAATTCGAGGTTTGACAGGTTGTATTTTGTATATGACATGTTATGTGACCATGAGCTATTGGAACACATGCATTTTCTCATTTTACATATGTGTGCATGTTCACTTTGGCACACAACATCATTCTTGAAGAAATGAACACTTAGAGTAGCATTCATTTACATATTTTTGCTAAATGAGACCTCAAGGGCATTTTTGGTATTTCACTTGAAAAACAAATGTTGGTCTTGACATGGTTGACCAGAAAACATGATTTTAAGGGGGGTTACTTCACAACTTTTTTCCAAAAAAGTCCCAGAAAGTCCTCAAAATGGCATTTCAAGGTCGCATTTCAGGTGCAGCTACAGGAGTTCGAGCACTCTAAATGGGAGTTCGAGCGCTCAAAGTTTGGGCAGAAAGTTTTGGCCTCGGGCAGGTACTGTTTGAGCGCTCGAAGTCCTAAGTTCGAGCGCTCAAAGTACTGTTCACAGTGTGTTTTTGTGTCTTGGTTCAGCACTGCACCTCCAACTTCAAATTGTCATATCTTCCTCGTTTTAACTCCAAATTGGTCCGTTCTTGACTCTAAATTGACCACATCGAAATAAGATTTCCAATGGTACCAATTAGAGTTTCAGATTCATTTGGTAGCTCAAGTTATTCCAGTTTTAGTGGAGGGGTGTCAGTTTTTGGCTCGAACCGGGATAGGGCTTTTCTTCCTTCGACTTCAAGACTTGATATCTTTGCCATCTGGACTCCGAATCAAGTGAATCTTGAGTCTAAATCCATTTATTTTTCATTGTCTTTCCAACGGTGTGCTTGGTAGTACTCACTTTTAGGATGGAAATGACCATTTTACCCTTGGGTTTCTTTTGTCCATTTTTGAGATCTTGTTTCCGCATTTGTTTTCTTTGGGTTCCATGATCTCATTGAGGGTCTCTTTGGTGTCCTAGAAACATGTTGTGTCCCTAGGGATGTCGTTTCATCTTTTGCTTCCGCAATTCGGATCCGTTATTGGGTTATCTTTCTGTTCATCACTGACGCACCGGGTTGAAAAACCTTGGGCCGTCACAAGTGGTATCAGAGCTCTTAGGTTTGAAAACCTTAGGACGATGGGTTTTGGGTGCATATCATGCTTTTGTTGATGTACTTTGATGCATTCACATGCTTTTGATAACATGTTTTGACTTTATAACATGTTTAGATCTTTCGTGATAACATGCTTAGTAGTATGACATGACTTTATGCTTATATGCCTATGTGGTTAAGAGTGCCTTTGTTTGACATGTATGCTTATCAGTTTAAGTGCTTAACTATTTAAGAAGTTTTTGTAAATTGCTTTAGCATGACATTATGTTGCATACCTAGTATTGCTTCTTGCTTCGTTGCATTCATAGTATGAGTTGCATTTAGTCATAATAACTTGTGTTATTGTTGGCTTCCTTTCTTTTACACATTTAGCACCATGGTTGTCACACGTGGAGAGTCTTCACATCAGGGCATTGAGGAGCAGGTGGCTGACACCGAGTTCACGAGGGGTCCGGGGAGGCCCAGGATTCCAGTTCGTGGCATGGATGCTGATCCGCCGCGGGCACAGACTTACGAGGAGTGAGTAGCTCAGGGTATCACTCAGGGAATTACTGAATCCCTACAGGAGATGATACTCAGACAGGTGGCAGGGATATAGATTCCAGCACCGGCACCGGTACCGATTGTTAATGAGGCACTAGAGTACTTTATGTGACTTCAGAAGGTCAAGATTGATCCATTTGCAGGGAGTTCAGATCCACTAGTCTCAGAAGCTTGGTTGGACCTTATGGTTCGCAAGTTAGACAATATGGTGGTACCCACAAACAGGTTGAGGATTTCTTTGACTGCTTCTTTGTTCATGAGGGATGCGGATATCTGGTGGAGGTCTATGACCAATGTCCACAATGTTGAGTTGATGACTTGGAATGAGTTCAGGGGTTTGTTCTTCGAGCGCTTCTTTCCTAGGGCTATGAGGTGGGAGATGAGGACACAGTTCGCAGGTCTTTATCAAGGCACTATGAGTG